TCTCATCAGTGGCCGTGGCAGCGGCTTGGAGGAGGCGGCGCCCGGTCTTGATGTTCAGAGCCTTGAACAACGTGGACACTTCGCTTACCATGGCAAGGCCGTTGCTGGTGAGCTCCTGAGATGTCTTCAAGAACTGCCTCATCTTCTCACCAGCATCACCGGTGGTGTTCTCAAACCCATCCAGGCAAGTCTGCTCGTACGTCATGGCGGCGCTGAGCCAGACCTTGAGATCCTCCACGTAGGCGTCGAGCTTGGTGAAATCAAAAGGACCCAGCTTTTCGAACGAGTCACCCAAATCGTCGATGGCATACTCCAAGAGCTCCTTGCAGTTCTGCAAGGCCTGGTTTGTGCTGGGGTCCTTGGCAAGCTCCTTCAAGGTCGTCGAGTTCTTGATGACCTCGCGGAGCTGGTCGATGGCGACCTGGAACCCTGCCTTGACCAGCTCTTTTGGGTCGGTGACGTTGCTAGCCACCTTGGACAGGTTGTCCTCGCAGGTCTTTTTGTAGTCCGTGGGCTGGCAGATCGACTGGATCGCCTTTGTCGACGTGGATGTTTGCTCGCCGCCGGATTTGCCTTTGTGCCGTGACACAGTGATCCCAACAGTTACAGCAACTACCATAGCCACCAGAATCAAAGCGGAGACGCCGATGATGGCGATCTTCTTTTTCTTATTCTGTGCTTCTCCTCCGCTCATTTTGAATAATATATGTAGTAACTAATTTATAGATATTTTTTTAGGAGAGATTCTGGTGGCGAAAAAGAAAATAAGAAGGGTTAAACAAAAGGATTTTTGTTGCGGGAACTTCTTATTTCTTTTTCAGGTGAGTTGCTGCAGAGCTGTTGGGGTCACTTTATTTGGGGCACTGGATAAATACTTATTGGTGCCCTTGCTGCTTTCAAAGTGTTGGGTTATGGAGGTATTTATACGGGAGGGGAGCTCAGAATGACAGTTATTTCTGTTGAGGATTGTGAGGTAGGGAGATCATTGTTCACGAGTCACGACAAAATTAGGGGTCGTTGTGTTTTTTGTCCAAATTTGGGAAGCATTACAAATGGTTGGTAATGCTTATTACTGGCTCCCTTCAATCGTGGATGACCAGTGCATGGCTAGAATGTTTATGTTTACCCACCTTAGCTAGTCAAGGTCAACTTTCTGATCCATTCGATTTTTATTTGTTCACTTGGGTTACTTAGAAGTATAGGCCACCACAACCATTGTGTCAATGTATATTACATTTATCTTTTTCCCATATATATATATATATATATATACCTTTGTTTGAGCCCAACATACTACCTATAGGGCTGGGAAAATCAACCCGAAAATTGGTCAAACTAACGAAAAAACAAAATTTAAAAGTACAAATGAATTCATAAATAATAAAATATAAAATGACGACAATTACGTGAATTTAAACACGTAAAGTTATATTTGTTTAAAACTCAATCTCTACTTTTGGAATTTTAGAAATGAGGACTATTTTGAAGTGGTTGCTGGAGATGCTCTTAGAAATTATGACTTTTGTCAAAATCCCAAGTTTATTTCCCTCATCCAAACGCACCGTAAACCACCAAGGCAAGAATGCTTCTTGTTTTAATAATGCATAATGAATGTATTTAGTAGGCTTTATCCAGCTAAATTTTTTTTAAAAAAAA